AGGTTCCTCGTGGCTTTACCCAGCAGGTCCACATAGAGGATGATTAGGACCATGGGCCTGAGTGCAGGTGTCTGAGAGGCTCTGCACTTGGCTGTGCTGGGGGATGGTCTGTATGTCAAGTTGCTCTGATTGGTCAATAAATAAAACCTGGCTAGGCAGGAAGTATAGGCGGGACTAACAGAGAAGAGAAATAAAAGAACAGGAAGGCAGGAGACAGCCTGCAGTAGCCGCCAGGACAAGGAAGATGTAAAGTACCGGTAAGCCATGAGCCACATGGCAGGGTATAGATTTATAGAAATGGACTAATTTAAGCTATAAGAACAGTTAGCAAGAAGCCTGCCACGGCCATACAGTTTGAAGCAAAATAAGTCTCTGTGTTTACTTGGTTGGGTCTGAGCAGCTGTGGGACTGGCGGGTGACAATGATTTGTCCTGACTGTGGGCAAGGCAGGAAAACTCTAGCTACACCCTTCTTCTTTCTAGTGTCCTTAGTCTACTTTTCCCACCTAACCTTATCCTGTCCAGGTATTGGCTAGTCAGCTTTTTTATTAAACCAACCACAGCATAATTTTCACAGTTTACAGAAGGATTATTCCACAGAAGTAGTCAAGAAGACAACCAAGAATACCCATCATACCACTTAAGCAACTTATGTCTACTTTTTTCCACTGAGGATTAGACCTGTGGTTTGCAGAAGTCATGTAAATGGTATTAGTCTGCCTGTGATCACTTGTCTGTCATCTTTTGTTCAACATAATGTTTTTTTTTTGATTCATCTAGTTTTATACCTGTCAATACTTCATTCCATGTTTTTTACAAAGGAACATTTATTAAGTCATAACCAGCCTAGAGCAGTATTATTGGATCATATTCTACCTGCACATTTAACCTTTTAAACACTGCTACAGTATCTTCTAGAACTAACCATTTAAAAAAAAAGGTATTCCATGTATTTATTTGGTGTGTGGGTGTGGGTGTGGGTGCACACATGGTGTTTGTGTGTGGGTGCACAATCCACCGCATATATGTAGAGGTCAGAGGATGACTTAAAGAAAGGAGTTGGTTCTTTCATCTCAGCACATGGGGTTGAGGAATAGAATTCAGGACATTAGGCTTGGCAGTAAGTACCTTGAGTCTCTCAACCACCTCTTATGTTTCCACTCCATATATGAGGATTCTAGGTGCATCGGCACCTTGGTAAACCTTGGAAGTGTCAGTAAGATGTGATATGGCATTTCTGCATCTATGCCAATTTGGACTATTGTTCTGTGACATTTATGTTTATACTATCATATGGCTGAATATTAGCTGGACCCTAAAGATGAGAAGCATCAACATTTTTTTTCTACCAGGGTTTCTATAGCATTGGGATGTTTGTTTGTTTGTTTATTTAAATGTTTGAGATGATTTATTAATTTCTTGAGGAAAAAATCAAATTTGATAACAAATTTAGAAGTTCAAATGGGGTTCAAAACTTCCTATGGCTTCTTAATGCAGTTTCGGTAAATTTTCCTAGTTCATTCTATTGGCAGATTTTGGCCTGTATCATACAGACTTGTCAGGTATATGTGTATAAATTGTTTGTTATATTCTCTTGTTTGTGATCCTGCTTTAGTTTCAGATAGCTAAGAGTACTGATAACACCACTCATCTTTTGAAAAAATTTACTTCATTGTGTATCTTTTATTTATTGTGTGTGGTTTTTTAGTTTTGTTATCAAAGTTATTTTTCTATTTATTTTGAGTTGACCTTATTTAGTTTTTGAAAATTTTAAATTTTAGTATTGGCTTTTGGTATAAATATTTAAAACTTTCCGACTCTCTAACACTGTTTTAATTTTGCCCTGTTCTTTCAATGACATTTTGAGTTATTTAAAAGTATTTGAAATAGACATCAAATAACCTAATTTAAAAATGAGGTATATACCTAAACAGAGAATTTGCAATAGGAGAATCTCAAATGGCATAGAAACACTTAAAGAAATGTTCAAAATTTTCTTAGCTATAAGGGAAATGCAAATCAAAATGACTCTAAGATTCCATCTTACACCCGTGAGAATGCCTAAGATCAAAAACACAAGACAGCTCATGCTGTTGAGGATGTAGAGCAAGGGGAACACTCTTCCATTGTGGGTGGGAGTGCAAACTTTTACAGTGACTTTGGAAATCAATAAGGCAGTTTCTCAGAAAATTGGGAATATAACACAGCTAAACCACTCTTTGGCATGTAGCCAAAGAATGCTCAATCATACAATAAGGACACCTATGTTCAAAGCAGCTTTATTTTTCAGAGTCAGAACTTGGAAACAACCTAGATGCTGCTCCACTGAGGAATGGATAAAGAAAATGTGGTACATTTATACAATGTAGTATTACTCAACTGTTAAAAACAATATCAGGAAATTTGAAGGCAGATAGATGAAAGTAGAAAAAAATCATCCTGAGTGAGGTAACCCAGACTCAGAAAGACAAACATAGTATATGCTCACTCATAAGTGGGTATTAGCTGCAAAGTAAAGGATAGTCATGCTATAATCCACAGACTCAGAGAGGCTAGATAACAAGGAGGGCCCAAACAGGGAAGGCATAGCTCTCCCTGGGAAGGGGAAATAGAAGAGATCTCCTGGGATGGGAACTTGAGGGACTGGGTTGGGTGGTAGATGGTGGAAGAGAGTACTGAAAGAGATGACTGGAAACAAGGTGAATTTCAGGGTCAGGTAGAAACCTGATGTAGGGGAAACTCTCATGAATCTACAAGGATGACCCCAGCTAAGACTCCTAGCAATAGGGGACATGTAGCCTGAACTGGCATCTTCTATGATCAGATTGGTGACTACCCCAATTGTCATCAGAGAGCCTTCATCCAGTAACTGATGGAAACAGATACAGCCAAACATTAGGCTAAGTTCTGGGAATCCTGTTGAAGAGAGGGAAGGAATGAAGTAGCCAGAGGGGCCAAGAACATCACAAGAAAACCCACAGAAGTGACTGACCTGGTTCATCAGAACTCACAGAGTCTGAACCAAAAGCCAGGGAGCCTTCATGGGACTAACCTAAGCCCTCTACACATACGCAACAGTTGTGTAGCTTGGACTACTAGTGAGACTCCTAATAGTGGTAGCAGGGATTGTCCCTAACACTTCGGCTGGCTGTTGGAACCCTATTCCCCATACTGGATTGCCTTGCCCAGCCTTAATACAAGGGGAGGTGCTTAGTCTTAAGGCAACTTGATATAACATGCTTTGTTGATACCCATGGGAGGACTGATCCTTTCTGAACAGAAACAGAGGAAGAGTGGATTGAGGGGGTTAGAGGGAAGGTATGGGGAGGGAATGGGAGGAGAGGAAGGAGGGGAAACTGAAATAGGGATATAAAATTTTAAAAAAATTTAAATAGTAATTATATATACATGTATACATACATACATATATACATATATACATACATACATATATACATATGTATATTTGCCTTAGGCTGGGGAGATGGGCACAAGTGTGAAAGTTCTTACCAAACATGAGGAACTGTGTTTCGGTGCCTAATACCCATGTAAACAGCATTGGCAGGAGAACAAAAAAATAGAAAAAATCCCCTGTAGTAATTTTATATCCACTGACGTTTTGTTTTGACTCAGTTTGTGGTCTGTCATTTCAGAGCTCTGTGTGTATTGAAAAGGAATATATACTATGAGAACGCTGCTGAAGGAGTTAAAAATGTCAGTTGGTGTAGTGTATAGTTAAGTTTTGTCTCCATAATTTTTATTGTCTTGTCATCTTGTTTCAGTATGTTATTTTTTGATGCTGGGAACAAACACTGGATGTTTAGGAAACCCTAGATGTATACTAACAGACAATCTGCCACCGAATGTTACCCGAAGTCCCTTCTGTGACTTTGTCTTATCAATTGCAGTCACAGGAATATCCAAGTCTCCAACTGTTTCTATCAGTTCCTTTGTATGACATAGGTAAAACTGGATCCATTCTTTGAAAAACAACATGGTGATCTCCTAGGGCGAGATAGTCTGAACATCCTTGTGTCTACTGAAGGGCTGAATCAATGTTCAGTTCGGCGAAACAGAAATCACCAAGGCAACTCCCCCAAAGCTCTTAAAGAACTTAGACCAAAGCTCTAGTGTTTGTCAGATGGGACAAGCATATAGCACCATGGGACACATTCTGTGACGCTGGCATCACTCTGTCCCAGAGCCAAGAACAGACATTACCAAATAAGAAGAATACAGAATAAGTGAACATTTCTCAAATTCGAAAGTCCTTAACAAATACAAGAAAACCTCACTCAACAGTTTATAACAATAATTATAGTCTGGGACAAATAATTGATCTTAGACAACCAAGGATGTTTAGAAATCTCAGTGCTAATTACTATCAAGTGTGGTAGAATATGTCTGTAACCCTAGCATTCTGAAGCCAGCATTGGGGGTCAGGTTGGGTTCAAGGCCAGCCTGTGTTACGTACAAAGACCCTTTCCTCAAAGGGAAGGAAGGATTAAATTTCCATCCCCACTGCCTATAGCTGAGAATCTTACCTTTGTTTCTCCATCCACCTTTTCTTGATGCCATGATTGCTGACCCAATATTGGGAGGAATCTAGGGAAAGAGTTGGTCTAAGGAGAATCTGACTCTTCAAAGGTGTAGAACCCTGGATAGAGAAACAGAACAGAGCTATCCAAAGGAACTGTTGATTCTCTTTTGTGTCAGAGGGCAGGAGATGCAAACTTGGAAACAGGGATATTAAATTAAGTCCCTTTTGACCTTGATCTCTCTATTTATTTTGTCCAGAATTAGGGCTCAGATCACAAAGCAGAAATGTGATTGTTGAATGAGTTCCATAGGAAAACGGGAAAGACTGTTCTGGAATCTAACTGTCTGTAAATGGGAAACAAATGACTAACCACTCCACAACTTTCCTTTGTCCAGCCATCTACTTTGCACATCTTTCTAAACTGAGCCAGTTTCAAACTCACACCGCTTCTTTGTTTTCAGAGACAGACCCCTGTGCAGGTGGGAATGGCTGTGCTCACCTATGTCAAATCGAGAATGGCGTGGCCAGGTGTACCTGTCATGCTGGGTACCAGCTGTCTGAAGACAAAAAGGCCTGCGAAGGTAGGAGGCTGAAGCTGATGTCTTAATTGGGTAATTGTTTGAAATTCTGTTGCAGTCAGATTGAACAGTTGGAGAAGGTAGGAGAAAGGGTGTTTTTATTTATGCTAAAAAAGAACATTTTAATTCTTGACTTTATCACTATGAAAAGTATTTTAGAATGCTACAAAAAAAAACCTCAGTGAAATTCTTACTTATTGTAAAAAATGACCTAGTGTGCTTTCAGAAGTAATGGTTTTTGTTTTCTATATCTTTTTTTAAAAAGTGAAATCCAGAATTAATATTTCAAAACCCTTAGGAACCACATAGGGAGTTTTTGATTATAGACTACAGAGGTGGGGGTAACCTTTGAAAAGCAAGTATGTGCAAATGAGGCTCTCAGAACTTAGGAATAATTAAAATGAGAAGAAAAAGAAACTCCGTAAACACAAGGTTACACATTTCTGTTTCCAGAAATAGCAGAGCAGACACACTTCAGTTCAAAGATGAAAGGGCTAAATTATTTCATGACTGGCACCAATAGAGAATAAAGGAATTCCTGTGGGATAGTCTTTGTTTTAATAACTTCTGAGAATCCACAGAATCCTTCATTTTTATCATGACATTTCCATGAAATGAGAAACAGTTTATTTGGATTAATTATGAAAACAACAAAATGTTCCTTGACTTACAGTCCTGATAAACATTTTGAGAAATTGAATACAAACTAGACACAAAAATGAGTGTGAAAATTTGGGGGAGAAATGGGGGCTTATGAAAGGGCTCAGCTGGTACACACACTTGATGCCAAGTCTGATGCCTGAGTTCAAGTCCAGGCCCCGATGGTGGAAGAAGAGAACCAGCTGCTACTAGTTGTCCTCTGACCTACACTTGTGTACCTTGACCCTCCCCACCCCCATGGACATATGCACACATGAACACAAAATAAATAAAGTGAAATAAAAAGAAAAAAAAAGCTTTTATGGATTTTAAGCATTTTATTCTGTCAAAGATATACTAGCTTGGTTTCCATTTCCTTTTTACTAATTGTTTTGTTATTTCATACATGTATGGGTATTTTGCCAACGTGTATATTTCTGTACTGTGTGCATGCAGTACCCACAGAGGTCATAAAAGAGCATCATATTTCCTGGAACTGGAGTTACAAAGAACATGAGCTGCCAAATGGGTGCTGGGAAATGAACCTGGGTCTTCTAAAAGAGCAGACAGTGTTCTTAACTGCTGAGCCATTGTCCCAGTCCCTGGTTTTCATTTCTTAGTGCAAACCTAGCTTGGCAACTGGCAGAAGGGAGAGTGGAGGGTCTTAAATACTATTTCTTGAAAAGTGACAAGCAAGATAAATAGAAAAACAGATAACTTACATTTTTCTGGCTCCTATTTTAATGTCTGATATATTAATCCTAGAAATCTCTCCCCAATACCACTGCATATTTGGGAACTCTACCAGTACATGAGAATGGTGAGTGGCAGGCAGATGTGAAGGAAATAGATGCACTAGTCAGAAAAGATGGGACAGGACCTCTTCAGCTAAAAGGAAGAGGAGATTACCAGGACCACAAAACTGAAGTTATCCTGGATCGAAGTGAGCATCACTTCCAGAAGAGAGACAGGACACCAGCATCATATGGCATGTCTCATCACAGTCACAACAGTTATAAAAAGGCATATGGACCAAGTGTGGGTTGCTATGGGAAAGGCCCCACATCTGACTTTCCCGTCACTGTATCTTCTCCTTTAAAAGAAGGTATTGCAACAGATCGTATTGGGAATATAGGTGTATATTCAAATACACATGTGCAAGCAATAAAAATTGATGAAGAAAGAGGCCATGAATTTGAAGAAGAGTGGGGAAGGGCATGTGGGAGGCTTTGAAGAGAGGGAAGGGTGGGGAGAAATTTAATTAACATACAATCTCAAAAGTAAACAAGAAGCCAGGGAATTGGAATATCTGTTCAATAATATGATATGTTCATAACATCAGACTGCAATGGCTTCTGTTTATGCTGTTGAGGAATGGATCTGAACTATTATTCACAGTTGCATTCAACTTTTTCCAATTAATAGCATCTGGTTCTAGTAGATATGAAGAAGTACTAGTGAGCATCAGAAAAACATGGGATGCACAGTCATAGTCATAGCAGCTGGTTGGCTCACAAATCCCTCCTCACTCAGTGGATGGAGTCTGTAGTATTTCGTATTATGTGGAAAGGTAGAGGTTAAGTGGAAGGTGACAGATAATTCATTTTTATAATTTACAAATGTCTTGATTAGAGTTGTTATGACAGCTGCTATGCATCTCTTCCTGCAGACATAAATGAGTGTGATGAAGAACTTGCTCCCTGTGCTCACCGCTGTGTGAATTCAGAGGGGTCCTTCACTTGTGCCTGCCACCCTGGCTTCGAGCTAGGAGCTGATGGAAAACATTGTTACAGTAAGTAGCAATCATGACAGCCTTGGAAGTCAGTGAGGTTTTACAAGTATCAAGCGAGAGTAATAATTGAAAGAACAACACTGAAAGTCTTGTCCAAGAAGTTCCTGAACATGTTGCCTGGTGGGGTAGTATGAAGATGGGAACTGACATGTGTAACCTGCTTCATTCTACTGTTGAGGAAAGAACCAGATACAAAATAGTCTGCATAATGATTCACAGGATAGTAAGTGAGGATGAACTTTCAAGTCTTCTGACTTGAAAATCTTGGATTCATGATTCAGATGCTTTGTGAAGTTCTGTCTTCTTGTATCACCTTGGTTAAACACTACAGATTCCACCGTGATGCCCAAAGAAGAGGAAACAGCATGGATGAAGGAGACTTGAGAGAAAAGAACAGTTGTAGGCTGTAATTGCATGCCCAAAACATAAGATGCTCCAATGTCTACTGTCAGTACTGACTTCTTTGGCCCTTGACATTCATCACACCTCTTTAAATGGTTCATCCTATTTCACATGCTCACCATTGAACTCATGCGTCTCACTGCCTAGCCAAGCGCTCATCTAATGTGTCTCCCAGCCCTACCTAATTCCCCAACTCAACTCAATTGCTAGTTTAATATACACGTTGTTAGAGATGTATTTAAAATTTTGGCCTATGGAATTATCGGTTACAGTTGCTATGTGTAGATGCTTCCTATCCAATCCCTTTCCCCACAAAGAAGCACACTGTCTACTTTCCTAAGCTCTGAGCGTCTGGTTCCAACCCACCCCCATCCTCCCCCACTTTAACCTCACTCCCCTTTTCAAAAACAGCAGCAGGTTTCACTTTGTCTTACAAATTTCTTCATCATTTCTCCCCATTTTAGTTACCTATCTTGACTGTTATAGCATCAAAAACCTACATGCCAACTACCACGGAAGCTAACAAGTTTCCCCAAGTCTCCCATAGAATTATAAGAAGAAACATCAACCCCTATTAATACAAAGGAGTTTGGTCCTGTTGCTGCCAAAGCCATTTCATTTGTGTGTTTGGGGGTTGTTATCTCTTAAAAGATATCAGTCAAGAGATTGGCTCTCATAATAATCCCCTTCTTGTCTAAATCATCATTATTACTGTCTTCTAAATTAACATTACCAACATTTCCTGTCTTAAAAATGCTCTCAAGTGAGTTCACATCCACTAAATTTCTATGAAAATGTTTTTGTTAGCCAAAACAAACATTCCCTCTCTCTCACCTCATATTTTCTCATCAACCCATGCTAACAGAACTCCATCTCTGACCCTCCATGCACTCTTTCATCTCTGTCCTTTCATGTTTCCAGATAAAATTAAAACCTCCCTGGCTTGATCAGGCTTTCAGAGCCATTCAGCAGTTGGTTACTGTGTTGGGTAATTTGGGTCAATTTGACACAAGCCAGGCTTACTGGGGAGAGGGAACTTCAGTTGAGAAAATGACTTTATCAGATTAGCCTGTAGGCAAGGCTGTGAGCCATTTTCTTGATTAATGACTGATGTGGAAGGGTCAAGCCAGGAGCTTGCAAGCAGGCTGTGTTAGCCATGGAGGCGAAGCCAGTGAGCAGTGTTCCTCCATAGCCTCCGCTTCAGTTCCTGCCTCCAGGTTCCTTTCCTGCTTGAGTTCCTGCCTTAGCTTTACTCTACATTGGATTATGATTAATTGGCATACCCTTCTTTCCCAGGTTGTTTTTGGCTATGCTGTTGATCACAGCAATAGAAACCGAACTATGACAATGACCTTCACGTTTCTGAAGTGCTCTCTTCCCTCCTTCCCTCCTACACCATCCCAGTGTCTCATCTCCATCTCTGCTCTAGCTCAGTACCAAATTTGTGCTTCCAGTTCCTCTACTTCTAATGACATCCCTTAAGTGTGCGCTCAGTGGCCTTACTTACATGAGTGACAGCCACTGTATTCTGGTGGAATCTCTTCCTCAAAAATGCTCTTTGCACTCTTTCACACTCACTGCTAATGCCAAAATGCTTATAGCAAAAGTTATTAAGTCCTAGGGCTGGGACTTGAACAGCCTTCCAATTCTGCATAAACAAGCCCTTCGCCCACCATTTACATGCACTGTGTATAATTTTATTGGTGTGAGACAAAGAACACAGAGTGATAGACAAGTGAGCATGTTTACATTCTTCCTGGGCTTCTTCATGAAGAGACACCATTAAAAGTCAGGAAATTCACTCTCCTCTGCATAGAATTCTGTTTCATTATTGTTGATGTATCGTCTCATCTGTCCACTCATTCTACTGTGTTCATAGTGCAGTTTCTGCACAGTGGTGTTTGCCTTTTAAAGAGCAAAGTAAATAAGACAGGAGGGAAACTGACTACTAATTAAGAAAGAACTTCTGAGGTTGGGACCTTTCTGAATGCCTGCAGGAATCCCCTTTCAGGAAGAGAAAATGTGGATGCATTCTTTTATTAATATTTGGTTTTCAAATATAGCCATACTTTTAGGGATAAGCATATTTTAAAATATGCAAGTGAATTTGCAAATGGACTAGCAAGTTCTCAGGCATCATGAAAGAAGGGATCATTATTAATAATGGTTTATGACTTATGGGCTTTCTTTAGAATTTACTCAGGAAAGCAATTTGCCTTAGAGTTGACCGTATTAGGTGGAAGTGCATTTTTACATTTACTTTCCTGATGGAAATATTTAACTAAGTTCTCTCTACAATAATCCCCAGACCCCAATATTTACTACTGACAGGCAAACCTTTCTCAGTGAAAATCTGTTTTGAGGTGTCTCCAAACCCATAGGCAGAAGAAATCTTTTCAGAGCATCATGATATTTAGCCATGAATCTAGCACCTCTATGAAATGAGTGTGTTGTAGGACACTTGTCCAAGAAAAGGCTTTATGGTGATTTAATTTCTTTAGAGAAAATCTTGAAATATTATATAATAGAACCACTCAGTCCTTACAGTGTGCTGTGAATTCATACTCATTGTCATGTGATTCGAATTTGAGTGATAGAAATGATAAAATAAAAAAAAACACCAGTGGCCAGAGCTTGAAATTTTATACTTTAAACACTGAGTCAAGTATTCTATTACTTCTTGTGTCTTCATTTAGAAAATCAGAGGCTACAATGTCTGCATGCTCAGGCCAGTCAACATTCATATTCTGAGTCTGATGTTCACCAATATGTCCAAATTACTAGCATATGCCAGGGATAGTGACATGTTTCCAAATTAACAATATGCTAAGATGATAAGTGTGTTTTATATGCATCAAAGCTGGTTAGCACTCTCTTGTGATGCAACTTACAGATTATCAGCCAGTACATTGGTTCAGTCTCTCTTAAATCCCAAGTCACTTTTAACAGTAGTTTTATGAACCCATGGGCACTGAAAAGAACAATCATCAATTTTAAATACACACACACACACACACACACACACACACACACACACACACACACACACACTTTGGATCCCCTAAAGGAAGTGTTTTTTAAAGTATTTAGTAGCCACTGATGGACTCATTATTGTCTTTCTTATCCTCTTGTTACCTGATTTACCACTTCTTCTCATCACTTAGTAGTTCAATACAGCATAGGTATGTATAATGCTCATGATATGCCTTAGAATTTTACTTTTCTATCTGTAAAGTGTTGGTGTATTTCCAATAGAGTGTGTCATCCTCTCAAAAGAGAAAGTATGTGCATTGTTAACATATATTCCATTTTTTCTCTATTGTTATGCTAATAACCTTCTTTTGCTTGTTTTGGAAAGGAATTGAATTAGAAATTGTAAATATCTGTGAAAAGAACAATGGTGGTTGTTCTCATCACTGTGAACCTGCAATTGGTGGACCCCATTGTTCCTGTAACCATGGACATCAGCTCGACACAGATGAGAAGACATGTATAGGTAATGTTTGGTAAATGCTATCTTCATTCAGAGTTTCTCTGGACTCATTCAGCACTTGCATGTTAATACACATTGCTACAGTCTGAGCCACAACCCTCAGACTGAAGAGAGCTGCATTAAACTGTGCCTCTGACCACTGATACATAGCAAAGACATCATTATACTTGGATATTTACCTTGAAATTAAGGAGACTGAAATTCATTTAATGAGATATATGGCCTATTAACTCTATGTGAATAAAAATTATTGTTTTGTTTCAGGAAAATATTCTAAGGTCTATCTAACCTACTAAATGTATATGCTTACAATAGATACAACTGTGGGTCCCAAGTCTTCCTGCCTTAAGCAGAAATAAAATCAGTTCCTTGGTTTTCAGTTTGGTAATGAATTAGATGAATGTGCTATGGCAGCTTTTAACAAAAGAAAAGTTTAAAAAATAATCATTCTTTGGACATCCCAAGGCAAACGCATTTTTTAATTATGTCTTATTTGTGTGTTTATGCATGGGTAGGTGTACATGTGAGTGCAGGTGGCCACTACGTCCAGAAGAGGGATTCAGGGCCCCTGGACCTAGAGTTTCTAGTGACTGTAGGCTGCCTGATATGGGTGCTGTGAAGATAACTTGGGTCCACTGCAAGAGCAATACATCTTCTTAACCACAGAGCCATTTCTTCAGCTCCTAAACCCACTTTTAATGGATGGCTTTAAGAACATATTACTAGAATTTCCATCCTTAGTTTCATTCATTTATTATTTGTAATGATTATCATTTCTATCCTCTTCAATAATGAGAAAAATAATCCCAACTCAGCCTTCCCTCATAAAGAAATGCCGAATGGAAATTTCCCAGTGTTTCTCTGCTAAGCAAGGGAGCCAGTATGAAGTGGCACTGCTGTGCTCTGCTTCTGAAACATTCCAGGCCCCCAGATAGTGATGTCTTCATTCTAAAATAGAAACACTGCACTTTCCTTAATGATGACACGTGTTTTCACTCTTTAAAGCAATAATATGAGTGCTAGAAAACCTCACTTTCTCTGCATGCTCTTCACTGAGGTGGGAGACAGTCTAAAGCAATAATAGAGAAGTGATGTAAGCACTGGGTTTGGTTATTTGACTTTGTACTTTATGAGAGAATGATCTCATGGAATTTAAGTATTCTGTGGCCTTGCAAAACTATTGAAGCCCAAATGAAGCCATTGCATATGTGTCTTGATCCAGTAGTGCCTTCCACACTGCTGGGAGTCCGCGGCGCCCAGCATATCAGAACCAACTGTTTTCCTTGTGTCTCTTGCAATGAAAAGTATGCCATTAACATTTAAATTTATGAAAGAAATGAATGGTTCTCTTCCTCTCTCCTTTCTTCCTTCTTTCTTTTTCCTCCACATTTTACTTTTCATGAGTACTAAATAAAAAGAAAACAGAAAAGTTTTATCTTTTCTTTATATTTTTATAAATGTATTTGTTCTTATATTCTTTTAAACCTTGATGTCTTTAGTCTTTGAAAAGTACAACTCAGGAAACTTAACTTATTTACAGCTAGAAAAAATATAGCATCTGCTAGGGTTAGAATGCAGAAAATTGCATATTGATAAGATTTCAGCAGTCAACAGGCAATGTTACACTGCTTATGGTTCATTTTGTTTCATTTTTTCAATAATAAAAATGCTTGTTTCTGAAGACTAGATTTCACTAGGGCAAGAGTAACAACTTACTTAGCCCACGAGGTCACCCTTGTTGTTGCCTGTTGCTTTGTAAAACCAGCCATGGGTTCTATCAAATGTTAGTTACTTTGAGGTGTTTTCTAAAGGAGGGAATATACAAGAAAAGATGCATACAGTCCAGCTAGCATGCCAGTGGTCAGCCTCACCCAAGGGCGGAAGCCTCATGCTGAAACCTAGAGAAAGGGCAAAGTGTCATTGGAGGGACAGTTGTCTGATCCCAGGGAGGAATTCCAAGTTAATCAAACAGCTAGACACTAGGAAGGATTTGTAAGTTTTCTTCCGCGACTGAACAGAGGCTGGAGTTTTTTGCCCTCATGCTTTTCAGAGCTGAGTGGTTAAGAATTTCACCTCAGTACCACGAGTCTTCCAATTTGGGGAGTTAGATTTTTCTGCTCAGGTGAGTGGTGCGTTCTGGCTCTGTAGTAGTGTTCTACACAACAGCCAAAGCCGTAAAGTATGACTAAAAGAATGAACACAGACAAGCGACGATTTCATCAAGGCTGTGGGAAGAAATAAAGAAATATAGAAAGCAGCTGATATAAAGGTGTAAGTGACAGTGTTTTCTAGAAAAGACTTGAGTGAGGGCTAACCCCGTGAAGTCTGTAAGTGTGAAAACCTGAATTCTGGTTCCTAGTACCCACATAAAAGGCTGGGCCTGTAATCCAGGAACTTGGAGATGCAGACAAGAAAATACCCTTGACCAGCTGATCCAGTGACTAAGAGACCCTTTCTCAAAACATAAAGTGGAGAGAGCATTGAGGAAGACCTATGATACATGTGCACTACACACACACACACACACACACACACACACACACACACACACACACGCAAATTCTACCATAGAAAAGGTAAGTTCCTGTTGAGCTTTTGAACTGAAGTCAGTGTGCAAGGTAAGACATTTCCCTGGAGGAATGAAAATGGCAAAATAATCGGACTTTTATATATTATATTACAACATATAATAACTATCAGAACAAAGAAGTATTTTCAGATTATGTGATGAATCTAGCCCCTTGCTAGCTGAGACCTGTGAGGCCCTGTTGGTAAAAAGGCCTTTTTTTAACCAAAAAGAAAAGAAAAATATCTAAAATTAAAAAAACAAAACAAACAAACAAAAAACCACAAAGACTACTGTTTTAAATGAAATAAAAAATGTTTTATCTTTTGTTTTTTGTCTTCTGTGTTCACCTTGTTTAATCTAAAGGCCAGAGACAGGCTTAATATGAAAAAAACTAATATCTGTAATCTTCTGAGTGGAGCTCCTTGTGACATTTTGCAGGAGAAAGAATGCATTGTGCCCAAATGACTTTCATTTAGATAGTTTATGGTGACCCCTCACCTTGACTGGCTGATTGCATTTCCTTTCCTTCCTGTCTCTTGTCTTCATTTCCGTAAGTCTACTGACCCTTCCAAGGTTAATTGAGACATTGACCTCTTTATACCTGTGGTCACTCATGTAGTCCTGGAGCAATAGGATTCTGTAAACTCAGCAGTGACAGCCACGCAATCTAACTGCCCAACACATAGAGGCTAGAACTGAGCCAGGGGCTAAAAGCCAACACCTTCATCATGTAATCCCAGCAGCCCAGAGCAGAGGGAAACAGAGCGAGTGTCTCCTGTACCCTTTCACTCTTGTGCTCAGAACGACCCTTTAAAACTCAGGCCAAGTAGATTGCTGTTTAGCCGGATGGTTTCGTTGACAACTACTGGAGCTTTTTGATTTTCCCCAGGCCAGCTGAGTCTTAAGAACAAGCATTCAGGATTGTAGAATTCTTGGTTGATAGTGCTATATACACAACAGCTCGCCTGGCAAGACATTCCAGGGGAATGATGTCACAGCTGTACCAAACCCCCACTCAATGTATCCTCAGCATGTTTGAGCAAACACTCTGAAATACTCATAATTCAATACACAATATGTGAAGGAAGTGCCTCTTCCTTCTCACAGACATGCAGTGTCCACTCCTCTCCCTGGTTGTGTATGAGGGGAACGTTTACTTGGGAACACTCTTTGATCTAAGGTCTTGAAGAAGAGGCACCTCATGAAGTCTGGGGCTGTCCTTTCTGCAGCTGTCAACTGTTATTAAATGGAATTCTTTGGATCTTCGGTCTCAATTCTGTCTTTTTCTTCCTCAAGTTCTGCTTATTCGGTCAGATTGCTTTTTAAACAGGAAAAAAAGCAGAGATCTCTTTTCCTATGCTTATAAATGCATTCAAAGATTCATTTAAATTAAGTAACAGACATGAAAGGAATGCACAAGAAAGTAGGTGTCATTATTTTTGTGCAATAGTTTCTTCAGTGTCTGTACTACGTGGCCTGAGAGGTGGGAAGTGGTTAATCAGCAGTAATTTAGAAATGAGGCCTCTCAGAGCTTCTGCAGTTTTGTTGAATTCTGCTTCCTGGAGTAACACACATGTCCTTTGCCCTTCAGACTTTGATGAATGTGAGAGCGGAGATGCCTGCTGTGCTCAGCTCTGCATCAACTATTCAGGAGGCTACGAGTGCAGCTGTCAGGAAGGCTTTCAGATCAGTTTGGATGGTTGTGGATGTGATGGTAAATTCCTGAGCTCTCATGGAAAGACTGATGTGATGTGCAATCAGGGGCAGGAGCTGGGAAGTGGGTGTCTTCCAAACTAAGGAAATGTGGAGTTCTGTGAGTTTGTGCCATGTGACAGCACATGCACTTTGGTGGCCCTAACTTTGAAGAACCCGAGATCTCCGTTAGTGAAATGAAGATAGCAATAGGGTTAGGAAGTAAATTAAGGGAAGTTTATAATAAAGGTAAAGTAGTAGCATGATGTTTGGCTTTGATGAGCACTCCACTAAAGGCAGCTCTGATTAGTATGATGTTCATTGGCCCATATGCTTTTCACATGTATGCATACAGAGGAGAGATTCAGAGTGAGTAACATACTGATGATGGAATCTTCTCTAGCATGCTGGACTACAATTACAGAGTTGGTTGTTGAAAATCATTTTCAAGACAAGAAATATGAAAGAACTACCATATACAGGAGCCCTCTCCAAACTCTGTATAGAATGTAAGGGTGAGGTCAACATGCCACATGATATTTCACATCCATCATTATTACTGCATTGCTCACAATAACCAAGATACAGAACCAGCTTAGATGTCCATCAGTAGAAGAATGGCAGAAAATGTGGTATATAGACAACAGAATTTTATCTGTCCCAAGAAAGATGAAATCAGGCAGTTTTCAGAAAAGTATATAGAATGAGGGGTCATTTATATTAAGCAAACTAAAGCAGATCCAAAAAGACAATTACTACATTTTCTTTCATATGCATAATCAAAATTTAAATCTGTTCATGCCATGACGGTAGTAAAGAGACAGAAAAGGGAAGGGGGAGATGATAGGTAGGAGGGGCTAGAGAGTGTGATGGGATACAGGAGAGAAGGTAAGTGGGAGGGGCTAGAGAGTGTGACGGGATACAGGAGAGATGATAGGTGGGAGGGGCTAGAGAGTGTGATGGGATACAGGAGAGATGATAGGTGGGAGGGGCTAGACAGTGTGATGGGATACAAGTGACATAAAAGAAGGGCAGACTATAGGGGAGGAAGGGATTAAAAATAAGGACAAAGGATAAGGTAGGGCAAGGAGGGAAGATAAGAATGAGAATAAAATTGAATGGCATATGTGTATAAACATGCTATAGTATAATCAATTGCTTTGTATGCTTACTTAAAAATAATTAAAAACAAAATTATCTTAAATATATAATTGATTTTTTCATTTCGCAATTATTATTATTATTGTTAAAAACATACTTTCTTGAAATCTGTACAGAGGTCATAATATTACTATCTACTCTGGTGTCAAGGCAAATATATGACATTAATGTCACAGAGAAAGTAGAGTTTCATTGCTTACAGAAACTGATCCTGATTTCTGATGGTAGCCAGGCTTTAAACTACTACAAGCCAGCCCTTCAGTATAGATCAAAGAAAAACACACTGTGCTATCTATATACACTAAACACAGTGGAGTATATTACCATTTATCATTTCCATCCAATTAACAGAGCCAACAAAAGCTGCATTTTATGCACCATCTGCTCCTAAGAGGAGTGAGCCAAGATATGATTGCATGGCACAAATGCACACACTTGGGCGTATACACAGGGGTAAGGTGTGCACCCTCTGAGGTGAAGCTGGAGTGTGGCTTCAGTCTGGGACTTTCCGTGTATCTAACACACTGACTGAATATAAAGTCAGATTCAGTCATAAATCTGGTAGTTACATGAGAACAGACTAGTTAGTATTATTCTGTGCCAAAAGTTCTCCATAGACCCTGCATGGAATTATACAAAAAAGTCAGTATCCACTTGCACACTTAAGCTGAGAAGTTAGTACATTTCTGCAGAATAAGACACAGCTTGGATTCATTGAATTTAAGTTTTATGTTCTTCACTCAAGCTACACGAAGAAGGCATCAGAAATCCCTGGTTTATGTGGCCAGCCTTCAGTAATCTTGCAAATGAATGCAAGCCAGTCAGTAGGTATACCTGACATTGAGGGGTATACTTGCTTTCTGTGTGTCAGGATCTGCTGCTGGTTAATGAAGGTCACAGTGCCTCAAAGGGCAGATGCTGGTTAACTCTACTCTCCCTAGATGTGGATGAGTGCCTGGATATCAATGTGGACTGTGGCCAGCTGTGCATCAACTCCATAGGGACATATGACTGTGCCTGTGAAGAAGGCTACAGAATGGGAAGTGATGGAAGAACCTGTCTCGGTCAGTAGCCAAGGGGTTGTGCTGAGTCTCCTAAATTTCTTTTGCTTCCTCATCTTCAGGGTGCTGGTGAGGGAAACCTCACAACCCTCACTGCCTCCCTCCTTTAGGTCTCTGTCTTTCTGTCCACCTTCTATCCTTCTCTCCCTCTCTTTCTCTCTTCCTTCTCTCTTCTCTTTCCTTCTTTCTCATTCCTTCCCTCTGTCCTGTTTCCCTCCATCCTCTTTTTTCTTCCTCCTCCTCCTGTTTTCTTTCCAGCTTTACTTTATTTCCTTTGTACTCTGTCTACTGTAATTCAGCCCCACGCGGGCAGCATCTGGCTGCTGGTACAATGGGCCTCTGAAGAGCCTGCTCAGAGCTCTTTGCCCATCACTCACCCCTGCTTGGCTGTCTAGTTCAGACTCTCACTATCTGTCAGTGCTTGGTTGCTTTTTCCTCCTTCTGTCTGCAGTGTTGAAAACCAGTCTCTTCCTCTCTGGTCTGAGCTTTAGATGATGAACAGCTAGAGGAGGAAGAAGAGGTACTAGACATCCTGAGGTTTCCAGGCCATCTGGTTCAAAACCCACCTCAGCCGTTCCCTTATCTTGATCCTTCTCTGATTGCTTCATATGAAGATGAAGACAATAATGAAGAAGACCAGGAAGCAGAAGAAGAGTTCCAACAGCTGACAGCCTTGCACAGAGTGGGTGAGTGAAGGAATGGTTTCATTGTTAGTATATCCTCATCATTAGATAACTCAGGCATGTTGTCCAAGTAATTTCATTATCAATAGTTAAGGCCATCAAATGTTGAGATAGGAGATCTAGTAGAAATATGGGACCAAAACCTTTACTTTTGCAGAGCTTTCTATAAATTTATCATCTCTTGACTTCCATTTTTATACAATAAAGGGATAATATGAAGGTATTTGTAGAAATGGGAGTATGGGGTGAAGAAGTATGTTGATGGTTCAGTGAGTAAGGGACTTGCTACTATAAATGACCTGAGTTCAATATCTAGGACCCACGTGGTGGAAAAAGGTAACCCACTCCCAACAGTTATCTCCTCACCTTACCACATGTGCCATGGCATATGCATACATATATACACATGCACCTAAATAAATAAATAAAAATAAAAGCGAAACTAGCAGTAATATACTTGTATTATAATTAATTTATAAGACTATCTATGAATGCTTCTGCATAAAGGTAGAATATTTAAATGTTTCTTTATTCAATTTCTGCTGCTTTGGCTATTCAAAATCAGAATAAATGTAGTTGAGACAACAAACACAGACCAAGTGAAATCGTTTGACCAAGGTTTGGAAAGAGAGAAATCCAGTTACATCTCTGCTGTCTTCTCTTCAATCATTTGCCAATCATGAGATGTGCCATGTACTCCTACAGACAGCTGTTAAGAAAGTGAGGCAGGTGCAGCGCTGAGCAACGCAGTTGTGATGAACATGCACAAAGTGGAAATTAGCTCTGTACAGAGTCACAAGGCCCCACATCCACCCCTCTCCCCAACACCAAGATGAGGACAAAACATGAGCCCATGTATAAACAACTGAGTAAACGAATACCTCTATGCTTTCTCATAGCAGGATAATATCCATCAAGAAGAGAATGAAGAGGCGAATATATTGCATTTCAGTAAGAAATAGAACACTATACTCACATAAAAGCTATTTGTGCACACAGAGTGTAGAATACTACAAACGCTGTGATGATGAAACCTGTAGCTGTAAGGTTTCTCTGGTCTCACCCAGTCCCATGGTCCCGCAGCTCCTTATAAAATAATCACTAAGAAGCTTAATATTATTTATAAACTGTATGGCCTATGGCAGGCCTCTTGCTAGCTAGCTCTTATATCTTAAATTAACCCATTTCTATCATCTATGTTTTGCCACATGTTCCATGGCTTAACAGTGGTCTCCTGGCATGTTGTTCCTTGGGCGGCAGGCTGGTGTCTCTCTCGCCTCTGCCTTTCTTCCTTTTTGTCTACTGCTTAGATTTCCTGCCTGCCTGTAAGCTGCCTTGCCATAGGCCAATACAGCTTTATTTATCAACCAATCAGAGCAACACATATTCACAACATACAGAAAGACATCCCACAGCAGAAACCTGACTACAAATGCGCTTACTTTACAATTCTATTTATGAAAAGTTCAGAAGAAATGTGTGGTGTCAGAAATTATAGTAGTGTTTTATTTTTGAGACTAATAGCATTGACATTTTAGGTGACAGGTAATATGCAATACCCTGATCAGAGTTTGTGGGCCGCTGGCAGGTGTATTTAAATATGTGTGCCTTTACACATGATAGTTAAGGTTCAATGTGAATTTACTTTAAAATATATCCATAGAAAAGTCTAGAAAGAAAAGAAAAACAAGCCTGGGCTATCTGTCCCTTTTGTGCTCTAGAATCAGTCATAGACCTGGCTTATGTTTCTTCCCTATTGCCCATTATGGAAGGAATAATAATCTAATATTATAACTGACCAAAATAAAATCTGTTCTGTGTTGAGAATTATCTCTTTGCTAAAGTCCTCTTCCATATTTTCTTGGGAAAGATACCTGATCTGATTTCTTTGGGGAATTAAGAACTTTGCTTTACTTTTGGTTACATGTGTAGTTAGGAGCCAACTAAGCTGGTTTCCCATGACAGTCTGTTTAGATGGCACCTTTGGCCTGGACTGCAGCTTGAGCTGTGAGGACTGCAGGAATGGAGGGAGGTGTCGCGAAGGAACGAGCGGGTGCCTCTGCCCAGAAGGCTGGACCGGCATTCTTTGCAATGAAAGCAACACCTTAAGAACTGGTGAGGACCGACAAGCTCCTTTGGGTGAGTTCTCCTCAAAAAAGGCACCCTAAAATATACTGATTAGCTATCTACTGAGAGATAGCAATATATTTGTTGTAAATAGTGAATGATGGTGAATGCTGGCATTTGTAAATTGAATATAGGACAGAAAGGAAAGATTTCATATTCTCAGGGGAAGGTAATGCTCCAAATCCTGCTAACCCACAAAACAAATTAATAAAGGCTCCTAATAAGGTTGGTCTGATAAAAACCCTGTGCTCAAATAAATCACCAGCACTTGGCCAGCTATTCCCAATGGAAAAAGCAGGAGGGTTTGTGTTACAAAGTACAGTGAATTTGCTTAAAATTTTCAAAAGTGAAATTGTTTAGCTGGACTTGCTTCTGTTTTTTTTTTTTAACCTCTCTTCCCCCCTTTGAAAATCACATTAACATAGCCAATGGTGATAGTTTTATCTTTTTATATAAATCTCTCAAGAGAAACTATCAAAAATTTAAATATGATACCATCCAAATATCATTTCATTTGTGTTTTAAATGAAGGCAGCTTTTAGGAGTTAAAACTTCCATGTGATAAAATACATTGAGGTTTTTTTTTCCCTCTTTTTAACTTTCCCATATACTTAAAAAATATGTGTCTTCATGGTTATCTGGAAGATAGTTGAGCAGATTTTTCCTTTTAGCTCCATGCATGCAAGGAAAAAAGAGCAGAGATATGTTCTACTGCATGTCGCAGGCATAGGACCCAGGTCCTGACATAGTGAAATCTTTTGGCCAGCATGACTCATTCGGGTGATCAGGCTGTTCCCCATGAGTGCCTGTGATCATGTTCTCTGCTGCTCTGACCCTTTGAAGCAGCTCACTGCCTGTACATAATATATACCTAGTCACTGGGAACCTTCCAGAATGAGATTTCTATAAATCCCTTTTTTTTAAATCTTTATCATAGTCTTTGTCAATTGACTAGTTCTAGGAAGTTAAATCACCGGCTACTTAATTTTCTGCACTTTTTTAGTTCTGTGGCTGTTGTTTCACTAGGAACTCTGAAGATTCATTTCTGCCTGTCATGTAGACCTTCATGTGATGGCCTCTGCAAGCCTTGGTCTTTCTAGTAGATGTGAAGCACTCTATCTTATTGTATTGACATTCTTTCTTGGCGAGTGTACTCCTTGGTCAGGTACAATTAATTCTTATTTACTGTGAGTTATTCTACATTGGAGTGCCAACCACATCAGTACAGACAGAACAAATGTTGGTGGAGACCCTCAATTATATTGACTCATAAGATCACATACTCCATAATATAAAATGTATATAATGTCATCATATGACTATTATAATACAGAGATTTGCTTTACCATGCAAGCCCATTGATATTCTTGTGTGGTTTGAACACATCATCCTTGATGTGGTAACATGGGAAATAAAACTATATAATCTACTTCTGAAGCATCAGAGGAAAGCACTGCTGATACAAATCTCATTTTGAGAGATTAAAGTGAGCCAGGTAATAAAAGGACAAAATGTCCATGTCTTCATACATGGAAAACCTTGCAGATGCCCTGAGTATTCACAGAGCTTTTCTGGAAGGATCTGCTTCAGAAAGCAGAGGCTAAGAAGGAAGACAGAACAATCCAAATCAACCCAAAGGTTTCAACTGATTCCTTAATCAAAAGGGAGTGGGAGATATTCTTTAAAATCCATATAAATTATATATTTTAAAGATGATTGGCATTTTAAATGCAACCCAGGAAATTGAAAATAAAATTGAGTAGAAATCAGAAAAATGGGGCTCCCAACTGAGATGACCCTAACCCTAACTCTAATCCTCCCTACTGACTAGATGACTATCCCAGTATTTTTTTTGGTCTACTATGAAAATATCTACTTAGACTTCTCAACATAGGACTTGACAAATGTTCATCCCCAATCCCTTTCTCTTTTTTAACTTGCATTTCCCCCTTTCCCTCCTACTCACTCTTTTACAGCAGCCTATGGCTTGAAATTAATAAAAAAAAAATGGTTAAGCCCAGTTGGTAATGCATTTGCCTAACACTCACAAGGCTATGAGTTCAAATACTAACATTGCATAAACCAAATTTTTGGAGCATATCTGTAATCCCAGCATGTAAGAGGTAGAGGAAGGGGGATTAGAAGTTTAAAGTCTTTATGAGTTCAAGGGCAATCTTAAATACATTAGACCTTGTCTCAATGAAAAATAGAAAGATGGAAAGAAAAAACAATAAGCACATCGAGAAAATAAAAGGAATCTGAAGCCGGTAGGAGGCAATATCCTTAATATAGCTTTAGAATAAAACTTATGGTAAAATATCCACGAAAATAGCTAATACAATTATCCCAAGAGTTATGTGTATCCACACTAAAGAGAGTCACAATTTCCTCAGCCTACATTTCTGGATACTTGGTACTTCTGAAAGAATGAACAAACTAGAAAATATTGTCATTTGCTTAATTTCATCAAAATCTGAGCATGCAAAACACCTTGGGAGCCCCCAAGAGAACTCTAGCTGCATTCATTGCTGGTTTTAAAATATGACATTTTCTCCCTCTGAGTTTTCTCCACATTTTTCAGAGTAAAAGATACAGTTTGTTTCTCATTAAGGTTGGTTACAGTTCTTCAGCAAATGTGTCTGGGTAGTGTTGAAACCACAAGGGTTAGAGTTTAAGGAGTAAGGTCAGTTTTGCATTTGAACCTTGTTAGCATCTCCTTAAGTCATTATTTTTCTAACCAGATGTATCCTCTGGAATTCCCCTGGGGTGATTAAATCATAGAAACTAGTACTAGACCAGAGTTTTACCCTGGGTCTGCAAGGTACTAAGAATTTTAATGACGTGGTAGCCATCCTAATAGAAAGACCACGTCTCCTCCGATCTCTCCTTCTGGCTTTCATTGTGATGGGCAGGATGTTCCATTACACACTCACCTTTCCTAATTTACTCACAGCTTGTTCCAAGGAGGCCAAAAGAAGGGAATGCAGGGGCATCTGCCATTGTCGGAATGGAGGCACCTGTGATCCTCAGACTGGACAGTGCCAATGCCCCCCAGGGGTCTATGGGAAAATTTGTGAAGAATGTAAGAATGCCCTCTCAGTAAGATGAGCTACTGTTAATTTGGGCATTGGGGTAGGGGTTTAACGGAAATGAAGACTTCAAAGACTGTGTCTATATGGACAAGAATATAGTTTCTTTGACCATGGCAAGCATAACAGAGCAAAATGAGAGCTGTTAGTGTGGTTTTTTGAAAGATAATGAACCTCACAGGCTCAGGTATTCAAATGCTTGCTCCCTAGTTGATGAACTATTTAGGAAGGATTAAAAGGTGTGGCTTGTTGGAGGAGATATGTCACTGGGGGTGGGTTTTGAGGTTTTAAAAGTCCATGTCAGGTCCAGTATCACCCTCTCTCTGCCTTCATCTAGAGGATAAGATGTAATCTTTCAGCTACTGCTACAGCACCTTGTCTGCTGACCTACCATGCTACTCTCCTCCATGATGGTCATGAACTTACCCTCTGAAACTGTAAGCAAGCCCCCAGTTAAATGTCTCTTTTTATAAGTTGCTGTGGTCATGGTGCCTCTTCACAGCAATGGAACAGTAACTAAGATACTTGGGTATCTGTGGTGCAAGCCAGGATAAAGCCTGATATGAGAAAAGAATTTTGTTTTCTTCTCAAGAAAAAGTTAGGTTTGTGGATATGGATCCAGAAGAAGGACCTGGGAAGAGCTTATTCTTTCTGGGGAAAAAAAGAGAGAAAAGAGTAAGGTCCATGTGGCAAAAGTAGGAGGGAGATGAGATCAGAGAGCAAGAGAGGGGAAGAGAGAACGGGAGAAGAGAAATTATGGTTCACAAAATGCCAGCGATAACTGTGCCTAGATTCTTCATAGAAACCAATGTAAAGGCCACATTTCCTCCACTGGTTTGCCAGAGCTCAGTTACTGAAGGCAGAAAGGTAATTAACATGGTATTACCCAGAGTTTGCTAGAATCTATTGGGAAGTTCATTAGGTTCTCACAGTCCATGGGAACATGGAAATCAAATTTACTTTCCATTCTGGAGTATAGGAAGGCTCCTGATAGCCATCCAAGTTCTTATCACTCTGAGAAATATTTGTTTAATCTTTTAAAAAATACACTAAATGGTTGTAATGAGGTCTGCCAGGAATGACAACCCTGGTACAGAAAACAACCAACCAACCAAACAAACAAACCTGGTCTTGCCCTTTGAATATTGTGACCAGGTTTGACAAACATAGATTATAAAGGTTGATAGGTATTGCAAATTAAATACTGATGCATGGTTGGAAGTAAGACCATAGCAAGATTCAGATTTTGACAAAGAGAGACTTACAGAGAAGTCAAACAAGAGAGATGAGGTGAGGCTGCATGAGGAAAGGACATTCCTGAGCAAGGTGGGAAGATATGTGGTGTGTCAAGGACCTCAGATAGCAGCAAAGACATGCGTGGAGCTAGTGGTGCAGCAGGAATTCTGCCAGTGTGGTGGCTGTAGTGCAGTATAACTGTAATTAATGAGGCAATTCCACATAATTTATCTGGTAATCAAGAGACGCTTATTTCTGGGGTAACTTACAGCCAATAGGGGTTGGTTACAGGATCCGGGAGAGATGAGGTACCATCGCCATGCCCCAGGGGTAGGTTATAGGCAGGTGTGGCAGTTATCTGCTGTCACTCTAGGGACAGTGTTTCAAGGTCAAAGCTGGAACAGCTACCCACTATAACTCCTACTTTTGTCTAAATGAGAAAATTCTAACCTAATAAAAAATTATCTACAATAGGGATGATTACCAAATATTGTCCCAGAGGAATAAGGGATAATGACCTAGACAAGATGAAACTACATTAACAAGAACAACACCAAACAAGAAACTCATACTGAAATCCAGAAGAGTCTGGAACATAGGTAAATGGTACATTACAGAAATCCTTCCACAAGAGGTCCTACATTGAAGAACCTGAATCTAATACTTAATAAGTTCTAGCTAAGATAC